CTGAAACAGACCGCAATGTCATCTTCGATTTCTGTTTGCCGGATGTCACGCCTCACATTGTTTTGTTGCATTTGTAAGTGTGAAATGCCTTAAATAATGAATTCGGTAATGTTGTTCTTGGTCGCCACGTTTGCATTGGAAAAATGAGGTTCAATGATATCTGCCCATGCTAACGACTTGAGACTGTAGAGCGATATCAAGTCCATAAAGTATCCCAGATTTATCCGCGAAAACCGTAGACAAAACATCCAAGTATGGTTCTCGAAATTCCACTAGACGCTCTGAATAGTTGCAACGAATTTCTTCTAATTGAGCCTCTTGAATGGACGAAAGCTGTTTCCTGTGAATGCCTTCGGTAGAGAATTGTGAAATTTTGCATCTCAAAGCAAATTTTCTGCTCGTATTTCGAGAACCTCGCCGTACAGGGAGGTGGACGTTGATGCTGTTAGATCCATCTCTCTTAGTTCTTGGTCTCTGATTCTCTTTTCTGTTCTAAATACTGGATCTAAATTTCTTTATTAGCGCTTTAGCACTGCTTCTGGTCACAGGAAGTTAGTGTGCATTCGGTTTAATTTCTTCCCTGTCAATGTAAGGTTTTGTTTGTTCGCAAAGAGGATCAAATGCAACTCCAAACACTCCTTTATTGATAGACTTCCAGTACGTAGACAGCTTGTGGTAACGACGCAGGCAGTGGCGATTGGATCGCAGTTGTTTTCTTTCATGTCAAACTCTGGGACAGCTCACGGTTGAACCATTCGATCAAAGGTTCTCGGACAACGTTTGCATGAGCTCAGCGAATTATTTTCCGTGTAACAAGCAGCGAGTTTTGGGGGCATAATTCAGGTGGTCACGGCATTGCCCTGTTGCTGGAGGTCACTGCGATTGTAGCTTACTAGCTATCCCAATCAATGAAAAGCGTCATATGGACTGCTGAGAATTATAAACTACTATCACGGTTTCATCCCCAATAATGCAACTGCTAGCCGATCCAGGTTCCCGCAAACGTTGCAATAACTGGTCGGTTATTATTCTCTGAAACTCTGAGTTAACCGCGTAATCCTGTATTATTTGACTGAGAACGTTCCGAACAGTGTTTTTTTATTCCACACCTAAATGTGATGAACAGCAGACGGGATGAACCCCATAGCCACGAAGACTTGCTGTTCAATGGTGAAAACCGGCAACCTAAACCTCGGGACTTGGAGTGGTGAACCACATAAGGCCCCGATAGGTTACGTTGATGCGCATGACTGCGGTGACGTGTATTGTTGCTCTATTCCATTATTTTCAGAATAAGCCTAGTAGTGAACGCTATTCCAAAGACTGAAATTTCCCTGACAGCTAATTTAATTCAAAAAGTTAACTCAACGTTTTTCGTTGCTTTATTGTTTGCAAATAATGGGCTATTTCGGAATATTACCCGTCATTCCCTGTAGCGTCCTTATTGAAGACAACGTTCCGTTATTTTGCAGCATACCCGTCTGGAAGCTCTGCATAAGCTTTTAAAAGATCAGTCCTCGTCACTGAAGAACTTATCCGTGGTGAATGTTCGTGCACAGCTTATTCTGTGGCCCGCGTTACTTTGTGAAGCTGGTGGATTGGTAATGCAGCTAGAACGCGATTCGCAAGCACGCAGGATTTTTCTGTCTCAGGCTGCAAAGACCTGTCTGACAGCCACAGACGCGCATAAAAATTCACTTGCCTGGAGCCATCTGAGCTCTTTGGTCCGATGGGATAATCTAACCCGGTTGGTCAGTCAAACTTTGTGCATACTGCTATAATAACAAGCTTGCATTTCACTTGATTTTTTTACGTTGTGTACATATTGCCTTCCATCACAATATGACTGCCTTTCCTTATAGAAAGAATACTCCAAAATTTCCTGTGCTGTTTTCAAATACTTACCAGTGAAGTAAAAATGAGTGCAAAATAATTTATTGCGAATGTAGCAAGACAAAAGGCCGTTCGCCTTGATACATACTTCGAATGTCTAGTTCACTGGTAGGTTTTATTTATTGATGGATACCCATAGCCTCGTTGGGAACAAAGTTCGATAGGCTAACCAAGCGAGTTTTCGGCAGTTCTTAAACTAACCAAAACAGTGATGTTGGGATCACTTGTGGCATTCAGTTCTCTCGTGGAAAACTTTGTGCAGATGATTGCCGTGTGCTGGCTAACATAACCATATTGGTTAGGTCATTCATAGAACCCCCCGAAGTGCATTGCTTGGTCTCTTCGTCCGTGTTCAATGGGAAACCAAAGCCGGAACGAGCTGCTTCTGATTACAGACGGGCGGTCAAAACTTTGATAGCCTCAGTCATGCATAGGATGATGAATCTGAGTCGCCTGGATATCAACGAAAGCGTATGACAAACTATATGCAACGTTTGATTAGCACTAACCGCTTGTCACGTCCTCAATGTTGTTAGACAGCACTTTCTGATGTGAACATCGTAAAATAATTTTTTATCGATCTCAGCTAGCATTCCTCTCCTTTGCACTTCAGCCTCCATAGCGTTGGCGTGTGTCGAATAAAATCTAAATAACAGTATTGATTTATTCTCCGATGGCACGACGGGCAAACAAATTCGTTTTTAGTTTTCATTATCCTAATGCGTAATATAAAACACAAAACAATACCAGTAGGGTGGATGACACTTTACAGCCCTAATGGTCAAGCTCTGATTCTGAGCAAGTGCGTGCCCGGGTGAAATCGATTGCAGTTTCAAGCAACTGCACATGTGTTTGAGAAGATACATTGAACCAGGTGAGTTGAAAAGCTTACTCCTAGACGCAGGGATTAGTGAATCNTTTTGTCCCGATTTCGTCGTGGAGGAGAGGAGTGTTCGCATGTCTTCTTTGGCAACTACCTCCTGGTTCGGTCGAAATAGGAGCAAGTGAACCCGTAAAGGTGCCGTTTGGAGGAGGGGGTGGGGTGGTTTACCTTTGAAATGGGACCGTGTAGGCAAAACGTAAAACTTACGTGTAATTCAGCAGTTGTAAACGTCCAAAGTGACGTTCGATTGATGTATTTTATCTGCCACTAAGCCGTGTTATTACCTTTGGACGGTAGTTACGAATAGTGGCTTTCTGGTAACTTTATTCTGGTTATCAAGTTTACTCTTCGAAAGTAGCAGTTGTATTACTTACTTAACACCCCGAAAATACGAGCCTGATGAAGCTGATTTTCGAAATAACCCATGGGGCAAGAACAGAGACGTTGGTCATTTTCATATCACAAACCGAGCGAATGACCTTCGCCGTACGTTCCAGCCAAATTCTGGCTTCGTGAGCTGCATGCTATGGGTTTGACCGTAGCCGCGGTCCATTACAGTTGTTTTCCATGCGTGGGCAAGTTAGCCAAGCATTCGCACGACCCGATAAATATGGGTCATTTGATGGAGCGATTAACCCGAGCATGTCACGTTCCCATTTCGGATCCTCTTTACAATAACAAAAGTCAGCTAGAAAACGTCCGGCGACTGAAAAGGTTATCGCACTTTGTAGGTGGAAAAGGGACTTACGTGGCACATGTTCACTTTATCCTCACTGAACTTTGTGGGAAAGTTGTCGTACTGCTGACATTTAGTAGGTGCTAAATTAAGTCCCTTCTTCAAAGCATATGTTCAGTTTACTATTTTTAGATTGATTTTATCTAACTGTAGAACAAGCGGTCAACAGAGGCTCCGTATAGAGGGAGATAATATGTTGCACTGTATCGCGGTGTTTTCGTAGCCTATCTGTTCTCCCGCTAAGGCAGGAGTGGCGAATGATTACCCAGACAAGGTATCCAAGACCTTTTTACATTTGATACTCCAAAACATACGTTCCGCAACAAAAAAAAACCATCGGGTTTGCATGATAAATCGGAAAGCCATGAGTTTTGTTGCCTAAATATATAGCCGAACAAGGAGCTCACAGTGCTGGATAGTCAGCTTTCCAGTACCAATTCATCTTGTTCTGGTGCACAGCAGAGAACTCAAGCGGGTGGATATGTTTGGTTCTCTATATTCCGAAAACTAAGTGGAGTTATAAATGGTTATAGGTTTTTTTCGTCTAAGAATTATGGTCGGTCCGCAGAGTGAAAGGCTTTACCAACTCAAGCCACGCCGTGTATTATACAGCGCTCTGGTCATTAGAACGATTAGAATTATCCATACTGTTGCTTCAAAAAACCACTCCGTGAATTGTATTCGAACTAGGCTCACTCATGCCATTTGGATGTCGGTGGATAACCATCAAACGCGAGTAAGTAGCAACTTTTTATTCTGACACCACCGTCCTGGTGTTAGTCTCAGCGGTTGCTTCATCTGTCACGACGAGCATAAGTAGACATATTCGATAAAATTCTGGAACCTACCTCTTCGGTCCTTAGAAGGAAAATCATTTACCGATCAGCAAACCAACTGCCAAGCTCGGCGAACAGGCAAAAGTAGATCTGTCAATCTCACTTAAAATCTACAGATGATCGTCTGTCCGGAGCAGAATATTCTAGCTGACTCAAGTGTAGCCCACAGTAGTATTCTATTAAAAATTTCATTTCTTATAAGTTCGGAAAATGCCCTATGACGCTTAATTCAGCAGGACTGTCAGAATATAAAAACAAATACTCCGAACATTGCAGAGTAGGTACTAACACAAATTACAAGTCATCGACGAGTTCGCTCTTTTTGAGAGAATGATTAACACCGATGCGATTCTTCATTTCGCATTCATGAGCCGGCTTTTGAAAATCCAAGATTCCGAGGAAATAAACCCACAGGTTATGCGAAGATTTCTTGACAAATCTTTGATCGAGAGTCGTTTGGTAGAACTTCAGAGATACCGAACTCTATACATTTATAGAAATTCACATTTCCGTAGAGTAAGCAAGCCCTTTTGTTTGAAAGAAAAAATATCAACTCATCAAAAATAGTGAAATTTTATACAAAATAAAAAAGGAAATGCAACTGTTTTCACTTGGTGCAAATAAACAACAATGCAGCTCCTGAAAAACACGATCAGTCATCCAGTTCTAAACCGTATTCGTCATATAATTCTCGTACCAGACAGCCTTTTGCATGAGCCAATCGGCCGAATATGTTCAAACATGCGTCCTTAGCCTCGTTGTACTGGTGCATACGATTACGCCATATTTCCAGATCTTTTTCGACATCCAACGGCCCAGATCGACCATTCAACAGTTTTTCTTTGAGATATTCTATCTCCTGGAAAATATTCATCGAAGTGGATTGTCCGACATCTGCAGTTGCATTGGGTTTACTGCTGGGAACGATCTGTTTGAGTAATTCGAGGACCGAGACTTCAATGAGCAATAGTAACACGAAGATATGGGGATTAGATGACTCAGTTGTACCTTATATGAATGAACCATTAGATGTGCTATAGCAGACCCTGGATCAAGGTATTTCACATGTTGATTTAACTAAGCTTAATAAAATAAACGTTTGTAAATGTTATTTTCCGAATCGTTTGATACAAACCTCGCTGAATCAAAACACATCATAGGGGGGGGGGACAAAACAAACGGTGCAGAAAACATGTGAACAACGCAACTAGTCCTCAATACTTTGATTTGTAGAACAATTTAATGCAATATAATCTAAGATAGTGAACTACAAATTAAAGTAGGCAATGAGTCAGAATAAGGAAGTATTGACTCCGACCTTTGCAAACAAATAAAACCTACAATAACGTGATCTAATCAGGAGGGCTTCAGAATTCGTTTAGAAAATCCGCTCACTGTGCCTTTTATCGATGGAGATTGTTCCATTGAAAGAATCGCAAGTACTAAATGTTTCACTAACGACTGAACTCGTGAAAGTTCATTGCGTATGGATCAAAAAGTGCCGTGTGTGGACAATAGATTCTCTGGCGATTGAAGTCTACACAACTATGCGAAGATTTGATATATTATAGCTGCCAACCCCCTTCATTAGAAAGTTCATGTTCAGCCCCAAGGTATGCTGAAGCTTGTTCAATTGGTCAGCGCAGGTTGAGCCACATGCGAATTGTTTACATCTAAACGTGGTCTTGTTCGGGTCGTATTCGACAAAGCCCGAAGAATTTGCTCTGACGACACGAAATGAACGTGTTGTGCAACACATTGACAAAAAATGGTTATCAGGATTTATTGGTTGACAGACAAAATCAACCAGACTGAAAAGCCAGTTGTTGCGTCAACGTCTAAATAAGAGGTCACGATTTATCACCTATTCAAAAGTGATGAGGTAAACAATTTATCCTATCGACGTTCATATTCGGTTGTCAACCGGACTCGTCCGCAACCAAATCCGTAGTTGTGCACAAGATAACCAGAGTACCCGTCCTCCTGTCAAAGAAAGCCCACCTCTGTACACCAAATCGAACTCTACCTATCAATTCTAATGTGGACGCGGTGACACGTACGTAAGTAGAAAAGAAACGTAACTACCTAATCGGGTTTTGGAACACATTCCACACTGGGTTTAACTCAAGGTCACTTCGTCGAGGTCAACACAGCTGGTTACTGACATGGACCGTACATACAAAACACCGGGCTCCTTAAACGCCAAGCGTCCGTTGCTGATACAACACCTCTTTGATCGAGAAAAATCATTTCAAGTGATCTCGGTTGAATTCAGTGCCAGAGTGCTGAAAATGGTCGAAGTGATTGCAAACAAAAATCTCGCTGGTCATCTTGCCTTTACTTTGATGACCCTTTACAGACTCACGTTTGGGTTTATTTTGTAATCCAATCACCAAACTTATATAAATATTATAATTGTCTTCAGTAGGCCCCAGTTGGGAAACGGGGAAATCGTCCAGGAAATAAATCATGCAATTTCGCTGCGTTGGCCTCTATTTTCATAATTGCACTGGTTCTATCAAGCCGACACTTCAATATGGTGATTTATGCCTGTTCGTGAGTTCAGCAGATGGGTAAGAAAGGTATGTGCTCAATTAGCTGTTGTTTGTAGCCCTCTTAAATAGGGAACAGCGATAATGGACGGTTACGGCTATGCGCTGGACACCGGTTGTTCCTACCTAAATCAATGAATGGCAACATGGTTTTATTTTATGGAATAACTATAGGATTTGCAAATTGCAGTCTGTTACCGTTCGCTTGATTTTATTGTTATCATGCACTGTTCGCAATGCCAAACCAAATAACGAAGACAAATGTGTCTTCTTAGCTATCGGCTATTTTATCGGTTGATCTTGAAAGAATACCCATACACCCCTACCCCTCTTTACTCATTTTTAATAGCAAAAGACTTACCCATTATTGAATAGTGATTCATCATAGTTTAGTAGCTACTAGGGACGTCTTGGTAATAAATTACTTACCACAGCTGGGGGAGAATAAACGCAGTTTAGGTAGATCCGTACCGCATAAGGGCGCATAACATTGGAAGTTTTGACTCAATTACATGATTCGGTAACCTGTAGTAATGAGTTTCGTGAAAACTAACTACTCGGATAAAGAGGAAGTGAAGGCTTTATTGTTTTATTGATATAATATCACTTCAGTGTTGAAAAGTATGGGATCACTGACAAAGATAATTTTTAGAACTTTCAGTGGAAGCAAAATTTTGCCTGCGAAACGCAGTACTCAAAAACGGGCTAATCCAATTCATTTCTTCGTTGCAAACCGGCACTAAACTTCTAAACCGACGTTTATGGATGATTCGATCTTGTGGAATGCTCTGAATCTGATTCTTCTTTTCAAGTTCAAGATTTCTTACTGTTCCTCTACATTCACTGAAAGCTTCCTCGATCGGATTGAAAAATGAGGTAGAATGTAAAGGATAATTGAGAGTATGCCGAGCTGCTATTATTACTCCATTTGAGACCTGACCTGTCCAAGCGGAAGGTGTTAATCCATTTTCTGTATTCGACCACCGACATCTCGGAAGCGTTGCCCATGTCCGGTGGGAACAGAGGGTCAGCAATGACGGGGTTCGTTATCGTGTGTTGAGTGCGGATAGTCGTTATCTAACAGAAATAATCGCTCTGCACTGCCGCAAGAAGGTGCTTGGTTAATGGTTGTTCAGTTCAGTTCAGTTTGAACAACCGTTAACCATGCACTTTCGTGCGCCGGTTTTGGTTGCTGTCTTTTGGCTGCCCATTGGGATGAAGAATAGGAGAAGAAAGGAAGGGTCGTTTTCCAAATGGGTGCCTAAGACTTTAGGGCACAGCATACTTCGCGGNGGGTTTTTCTTTGGGAACCCTAACCGGAGCCTTTGACTCAAAAGTCTGACCCACAAGGCAGTTAATGGTTGTACAAACTGACTACACCGCCTCCAATGATTTAGTCACTTGTTGCGTATACCTACCCTTTCGGGCTGTTTTTGCACATGCTGGGTAAGGCTGGAAGAAGCGACACGGCGGTCAGACCATGACGTGGCGTAGAGGCATGAAGAAGCTGGCTTCGGTTGGCGCAGCCCGCCTTCCCGGTTGGTGCCAAAGGGATGAGAATGATTGATTAGAGACGCTAAGAAATACGGCCCAGAATAGAATTCAGTAGCGCGAAT